CTTCTAAAAAAATTTCTAAAAAAGTATAAATAAAAAAATCAATAAAACTATTTTTTTAAAAAGGATAAATAAGACATTCATACCCATATTTAATCATTTTCATTGCTTGCATATCATTTAATTTTTGAAAAATAGATATGAGCCTTTAAGGACGAAATTTTAAGAAAATTAGAGTAGTAATTCTTAAAAAATCTTTAGCTGAAAAAAATTATTTTAATATTACTAACGTACTAAAATATTTTAAGAGTTTTTTTGATAATAAGGTTCTAATTTATTAATCTTAAATAAAATAGATTAATCTTAAAAAATAAAGTAATAAAAAAAGGTGAAATAACAAAAGTGGAAATGAATATAAATTAATAAAGGTAGTCAAGGAAATTATTTTTAAATACAAAAATTAAGATTTTCTTATCAAAATTAAAGGATAACTCATAATTAATTGATATCATTTTTTTACAAAAAATATGAGAGTGTTAATTCTTTCTTATACGTAATTGATTGTTGAACTTAAATTACTTTTACAAATAAAAAAATTATCTTTTTAATAAATTTTAAATAATTTAAAAATTATATTAAAAAATAAAATTTTAATAAGTGACAAATCACATATAATAAAAAAAATTGATGATAATTTTATTTGTTTTTAAATTTATCTATCAGTTTCAAAATCATTACGACATGCACCGGTAGGAAACTACAACGTTTGGCATTAATCACCGTGAGATGTTTTGACAATTTCAAGAATAGTGGTGTTATTTTATCTTTGTTAAAATTTTGATGTTTTTTATAATTTTATATTTAAATTAAATATTTTTCTCTATCATCTATTAATTTTAGATTAAATACTTAATATAATATCAAAATTTATACAATAATTTTTTTATTAAAATAATACTATTATATATCTGTTAAATTTTAGATTTTTTATAATTTTATATTATTTCTCTGAATCCAAAGCATCCAATCGGCCATAGGAAAAAGGATGCCCCAGGATACGTTGAGAAAGGAGCAAGGTGTGCTAATTTACAATTGATCTTCAGCCAAATGTCAAAATCCATCTGAAAAAAATTCAACACAACAGGAGGAGGTTTAAGTAATCCCCATAATTTAATAGCTTCCCTACACTTTCGAAAAATGTGATCAATACTCTCACTTTCAAGACCAGAGCTAGTACAAGTATCATCAAGAAGGATGCCCCTTTCCTTCCTTGACAAACCAGAAGCAGATAACAAAGTACTGAATTTTTGGATGAGCTGGGGTTTTCCAGATCCACTTTCAACCCTTAGAAGCTAGAACCAATAATGCCTCTTTTACAACTTACAAGCGTGCTTCAGAGAAAATATGCCATCAGAATAGCTGAATCCATATTTATATAATATAAAATATTAATAATTTATGTATTTATATTATTATCATAAAATAAAAAATTATTTATTTATTTATATATATATAATTTTCATTAAAATTTTAAATAATATTATTTTTATATCGTACCATCACGTAATATTTTAAATTATTATTCAATCACACATTATCCTGCGATTGATTAATTAGCTTTTATCAACTCAAGCTTTATTCCGTTTCAACCAAAAGTCTTGGTACGATGCGATTAGGACATCTTTTCGTCCAATCGCGCTCAACTTGCCTTTGAGCCACCACTTGGTCGGTTCAATTAGGAATTATGGCCCGCACTGCATCTTCGGTGAAAGATTGAAGCATTATGTCTGTATTATATATTTTTTTATTTTGTTCTTAAATTTATATCAGAACTTATGCATGTATTTTTTTTATCATGTTATTTTTATTTTTTATTTTCAAATTTATATTTTATCCTTAAGCGTAAACATATTTATTATCATTTTGAATAAAATAAACCATTTAGATTTTTTATTTAATAAAATCACCATGAGATGTTATAAAATCGCAACATTATTACTTGAATTTTTTAATATTTTATCATCACAGAATTTATTTTTTATTGTTTTAAGAATTTTTGAACACCTCTTTTTTAAACATATATTTATTCAAATATTTAAATTTTAAATATACATAACTAAACAAATAAATAATTTAACAAAAATATATAAGAAATTAAGAGAAATACTGAGAAATTATCCAAAAAAGATAAGTTAAAGTTGGTCAACAAATAAAATTATATGTCTAAAGATAATATACTTTTATATAAGAGATTATAATTTGAAAGTAAAAAATATATATTTTAAGTATTAAATTTTGAATTTAAGTTTATTTTATATTATTATTTAAAAATAATTGCATAAATTATTTAAGTTAAATTTTGATTTTTTTTGGATGAAGTTATTGATAAAAAATTACAATTATAATGAGATACTATTATTTTTATATAAAAAATAATTGAATTAAATCAAATTTGCATTTAAATTTAAACACAAAAGCCCATTCACAAATGAGGTCAAGACCTTCTTTTTAGCATTTCCTCAAATTATTAAAAGAAAAGAAAAGTCTTCCATAAGAAAACATAGGAAGCGGGGCCAGACATAAAACAACCGCATGCCTATCTACAGTAGTCTTTCTCCTCCAACATCCAACTTTATTACCCCTCCATTTTCCACTCTTTCTTCTTTTTAAGTTGTTCAATTTTTCCATCGAGATCGATCAGCAGCTCTTTTTGCTAAGCAAATAAAGAGAGGATGAGTGATGCAAACGCCAAAGATGCCAGCAGAGATGTTGGAAGTTCTACAACTCCTGGAAGCAGGCAGGCAGCAGATCAAGCCCCCATAAGAGACAGACCTATGAGGCAACCAAAGAGGGGACGCGTGTTGAAGAACATTATTGCTGATATTACTAAAAGCTTGTCTTCTAGCCTTCAATCGCTTAGATAGAGTCGCATCTGTGGCCTTGTATTAATATATATTATATATTCTCATGTGAGTGGAACGTCTCTTCTCTCATCTTCTTCTTTGTCGAAGCTCCTGGATGAAGTTCGAGATAAATAAGCCATAGATGAAGTTCCTGGATATGTTGCTCTGACTTGGGAATTAGGATTTAGCCTTAGATAAGGGTTTGCATCCGGAATGAAATGTTTAATTTTTTAGAAGTTCTTTCTTTATATTTAGGGTCCGAACTTAATATCCAATGTGCGATTGGAATCGGACACAGTACTTGAAGAAAAAGAGAGAGTAAGAGCGACATAGGCTTGCAGAAGATGTGGTTAATTCTTGTAAATCAAAGTGTTGTACTGCTAATGCGAATGTGCTTATAGTTAATTTAATGTTAATCTGATCTGATCTACTAAAATTCGCCATTGTGTTACTGAGCCGTGACTCGATAATTCTGAACTTGTTCATTCTCTTCTTATTGTGTGGCTTATGACTATGAGCATACAAATAATTTAGGTGGCGCCTCTTCATGCATCAGCACTTAAAAGAACATTTGCAAATAGCCTGCAATTATTAGGAGAGAATAGCATGTTATTTTCAGCTATTGCATTCATTAAAAACAGATTATATTGGTTTGAATGCAATAGCCTTATATAGAATCCATGTTCCTTCAAGCCGTAGTTTGGTGCATCAATCTTGCAACAGCTTTGTATCACAGTTTGCTACAGTATGAGTGGAAAATTAAAAGCAATTTTGTACTCTGTAAAAGATATATACTATCTCGGTAGGATTTTAATGCTGGCGGCCACAATCAGGAAATTTAATTCGACTCGGACAGGAGGAGCAACGTTGCTATTATGAAAAAAAGTTCAGGCTAAAGAGTAGACTTGGGGGCTTGTTCTAGGAATTTGGGCTAAGCATGCATAGTTTTTACCTAAGGGCTTAGGAGAGGAGCTAGCCTGACTAGCTGTAGGAAAGTTTTGGGCTGTTCTTCATTAAACCAAACGATAAACTCTTTTTTCAACAAGTCTTTGTTTAATCGGTCTGGACCAATCTATTGTCATTTTATGGTACATAAAAACATAAAATGTAATAATTATTCTATATTGATCCATACTGATAAGTGTTGTATATTATTTCACTAGATTTATATATGATTTTGGTGAATTGTAAATTACTCACGTGCATCTCTTATATATAGTAGTAGTTGTTAGTACTTGTTATCTGTTAAGTATTATACTATGGGTTTAATCTGAAAACCGGAGGCAGGATCAATTGAACAATTGTAGATAGTGGGATGTTGTAGATTTTTTTTTTTTTTGCTAAACAAACAGTTGAAAGATTAAAATTAATTTACATCTTGAATTGGAATTTTTTTGTGTTTAATACTTAATAATTATTTTAATTAGAAGTTTCTGTGCTTACACAACTAATACCAATCCCAATTATCTAAAATGGACTATGAATATTGATAGCAATAGAGGCATTTTTGAATTTGGACTTTGGATCAGATTTGATAATTTTAAATATAATATATTGATATTATATAAAAATATATATAAAAATATATTTGAAAATTATATGATTTTTAATAATTATATGATTAATATATATAAAATAATATATATGTTTAATAAAATTCAAATAATATATTTTATATTTGATATATTAATATAAATTATAATATAATAATAATTTATTTTACACATATTAAATATAAATATTGCGTATCTATTAAAGGTTATATTCTAGCCACTATTAAGACCCAAACTATTTTCTGCAGTCTACAACTAAAACAGGTTTAAAATGGTCAGCCCAGCTGGTCCTACACTTGGAGCAGCCTTACCTAGGGGAAGTCAATAGTTATTTGAGTCATGGAATAAAGCAAGCATTCATCGTTCCTTTTTATGTAACCGTTACACAACGGATTTCATACCCGGCAACAAAATTCAAAATCACATGAAAAAGAAAAAAAAAACCAACAAAAACAAAAGCCACCCTTTACCTTTTCCTACCTTTTTTTCAAATCCAACAACCTTAGACTATATAAAAATAGTTAATTGATGTTATCTGTAATGTATCCCTATAATCCCATATTCCCATTTTGTCTTTGTATCAGTGAATTCAGAAACCAACAAGAAAATGGGTTGTTGCATTAGCAAATGCAGACCCAAGAAACATTACATCGAAGATCTTAGTCATGTTCAAGACAAGGTTGTGATCTCATCATCACAAGCTCCAAAAACTCCCGTTCCTGTCTCAAATAAAATCTCCCCTTTGCCTCTTTCACCTACCATTTCTTCCTCTTCTTCGGTATCTTCCTTCACCTGCACCACTAGCAGCAATACAACTAGTTCATGTTCATCCCTTCCAAGCTCATCTTCGGTCCTGAGCTCGAAGGATAGGTCTTTCTCCAATGAGTTCTTGTGGGCATGTGTAAAGGAAAACCCTCATATAATTCGTATTAATTCAATCAAGGAAGCTTCTCTTGCTTTAGCCACTACTAAATCTCCACTGGCTAAACCGACCGTGGCACCGGTGAAGCAGGCAATCCAGGCAATGGAGAAAGGGTCTACACCACGGAAAAGAGGACGGTCAAGTTCACCATCAACATTAACAAGACAAAAGAGCTTCCGAAAGGAGCCTGACAGACTAAATTCTGCATATTATTTGCCAAGTAGGAGTTTGAGGTCACCGTCTCCAAGCAGGAGATTTATCGGAGATACTTATAGTAATCGAGGAATTTTGGCAACTACAATATCGAAGGAAATTTGCTCTTCAAAGCGAATTGTTGCTTCCAAGGTAAACGCATTGAACTCTGTTTCTTCCTCTCTAAGAAAGGAAAATTTCAGGCCGTCAAGTCCAACGCTCAGCAGCCACAATCCAAGTACTCCATTGAAGTCTTGTTTGAGAAATCGGGAGACTTTCATTCATCGTATTAGCTCTAAACTCGATGAAAGTGCGCTCCGAGCAGCCCTGGCCCAGCAAGAAAATGACTCCATTTTTATGGAGGACATTGACAATCCTCTTATTTCCTTGGATTGCTTCATTTTTCTGTAGAAAATGAGTTTGCACGCATAGTGAACATTTGTCATGTTCTTACGTTTTTTTTTTTTTGAAGTTTTTTTCTTTGCTTTTCTGATTGTTTTTCCACAAAAATCATGATGGATATAGGCTTACCAATGATCAACAGGATCAAATGTCTAAAATTGATATGTTGATGAAATGGGGGTGAATTAATTTTCTCAAATTTCCTGTTTGATTTTCTCAAATGTATAAGATGAAAGAATGAAAGATTGCTACAAATTTTGGCAGACTTTTATTGGCTCGTATCAAGAATACAATTCCTACCACTGTGCTCTTTCACTCTCTTTGAATTATGTGCCCAAACACCAAACCTTTTCCATTTGATTAATTCACCATAATTTTTATGAATCTGTCCTTTTTTTTTTTTATAAGATTAGACATAGACCGACTCTAATTTACGACCTTCAATTACAGCAACTGTCTAATATGGCATGAATGAATGCCAGTTTGAATTAATAAACCACCTGGCCACTAACTCTAAAAAGCTCTCATGCTTACCAGAAAAAGACCTAAAAATGTAAAAGTCAAATAAATTTTGTTATATTACTTTAAATTTCATTTATTTTTAAATAAAAATAACAATATTACGATATTTTACAAAATATTTCGCTCATGCAAATAATAGATTTAGTTGATTTCCGTTAACTTTATTATTTTTATTATAAATCAATAAAATTATAATAATGAAATTTAATGAAATTTACAAAATTATAAAATTCAACAATAATCCACAATAGATTGTTGTTAATCCTAAAAAAAGATTAAATGATCATTGATATCTCAAAATTTAAAAAAAAAAAAAGGGTTAAATATGTATTTGACCTCTAAACTTTAAAACTTTTGTCACATTAATATTTAAAGAATTTTTTTATCATATTAATATCTGAAATTTCAAATTGCTATCACATTAGTACCTCACATTAACATCGTTACTTAATTTTGTTGGCATAATATTAACATCTAACAAGATATTAATACATGTCAAAAAGTCAATCAACTTCGTATCATCATTGTCATGCCAGTATAAAATAAAATTTTAAAAAATTTCAAAATTTTCAAAAAATTTCAAAAAAACAAAAGTTAAAAAGTTAAAAAAAATCTAAAAAATTCAAAAAATTCTAAAAAATTGAAAATTTTCTAAAATAATTTTAAAAAATTTTGTTAAATTCAAAAATATTTTTAAAATTCAAATAAAAAATTTTAAAAATTATAAAAATTATAAAAAATTTAGAAAATTCTAAAAAATTCTAAAAATTTTTTAGAAATTCTAAAATAATATCAAAAAATTCTTAGCAAATTAAAAAATTTTAAATTTTCAATTTTTCAATAAATTTTAAAAATTTAAAAAACTTTTCAAACTTTTCAAAAATTATAAATAAAAATTCAAAAATTTTAAAAATTCTAACGACTTTTAAAAAATTTTAAAAAATTTATAACAATCTTAAAAATTATAGAAAATTTTAAAAAATTCAAAAATAATTAAGGAAACTTGAAATTTTTCAAAAAATTTTCATAAATTTTTTATAAATTTAAGGAAATTTATTTTTTAATTAATTTAAATTTTTTAATTTTTTTATTTTTTAATAAATTTTCAAAATTTTTCACAATATGATAATTTTTAATTTTGAAAAAAATTTGATAGTTTTAGTTTTTTTATAAATTTAGAACTTTTTTTCGAATATTTAAAATTTTTTAAAGAAATTTATAACTTTTTTATAATTTTTTGAAATTAAAAAATTTTTTATAAATTTTAAAAAATTATAAAAATAATTTTATAATTTTTTAGGAATTTTTAAAAAAATTTTAGAATCGTTTTGAATTTTTTTCAAGTTTTTAAAATTTTCTTAGAATTTTTTTCAAAATTTTTTTATATTCTTAGAGAAATTTTTAAATATTTTTTTTAATTTTTAAAAAAATTTAAAACATCTAAGAATTTTTGTTATAAATTTTTAAAATTTTTTAGAATAGTTTTGATTTTCTTTTTAAATTTTTTTAAAATTTTGGCAGTTTTTAAAGTTTTTTAAATTTTTTTTAAAAATTTAATATTTTTTGATAATATTTTTAATTTTTTTTATTCTAGACGTAACAATGATTATATAACATTAATTAAATTTTTGACATATGTTAATATCTTATTCTTATGTCAAAAAAATTGACTAATAACATTAATTTAAGATATCAATATAATAATGATTTAAAAGTTTAGATAGCAATGGGATAAAAAAATTTTAAATATTAATGTAACAAAAATTTTAAAATTTAAAGAACAAATATATATTTATTCCTTAAAAAAAAAAAAAAAAAAAACCCTTCAGCTACTATAATTTCAGTCGGCTTTCTGGTGGGCTATGCCTGGTTTTTTAGATAACTATTCCGTCTGGCTCTTCATTGGGCTGTACTTGCAACGTTGTTACAACTGTAAGTTGCGCAAGAAAAAGGTCTTTGTCTATAACTATTAACTAACCTATAGATAAAAATTAATAGTATTTTCAAAGGATATAGTAATTAACTTTAATCCAGCTTTAATCTCATAAAAAAGGTGGTTTATTTTTATATTTATTAAAATTTTACATGAATATTTGCAATTATATTAACAATAATATATATAAATATTCAAATATTTTAAATAAATATTTATCATTTAATATGATTTCATTTAAAATTATTTTCTAATGTTAGGTCAATTAAAATTTTATAAATATTTAAAAAATCCTCCTCCTGCCGACAACAGTCGAATTAAAGAATAGAAAGACTAGAACAAATCTGTCCAATCATAAAATAACAAGCAGGCAATTCGTTAATAACATCTATTTTCCAATTTTCTTCTAATGAATTAAGGAAATATACATGCTACATATTAATAAATAAAGTTAAAGATAGATTAAATTAGTTTATTGGCCCATTATTATTATTATTATTATTATTATTATTATTATTATTATTATTATTACGACTAAATCAATTAAGTCTCGAAACAATTATTTGAATTGGTTATTATTGATGGTATTTTCTAATGTCTTAGCTAAAGAGAAGGAAATGAGATTGGAGAAAGGAAAACTATAATCTACAATTAAAAAGCATGGTCAGGGATCATCGTAGTTGTCACTCTAGGGTGCACTCCGATGCACAAATCAATATATTGCTTAAGGTATGCTATGGGAATAAGGCAAAAAAAGATGGATAACATTGTATAGTGTTCTAGAAAGCAAGAGTCTTAGGCTTAGTCTTTTTCAACTACCTTGTGTGCTTGGTTTTTCTCCACCTGTCATTTGAGACAAAGAGCCATGATCTAACTAAGACAATGGACAGTTGAGAGAATGTGTGTGTAAAACTCAAAGTGATCCCACACGAATAGATAAGAATTGTATTTAATGATTTCAAGCAAGTGTGGACTGCATTTAATTATCTTGGGGTAACATTTAATGATACAAGGTAAGTTGGTGTCCCATTAGTAAATTCTGAAGTGACTTTATAGGGTTGGTGATGAGCCGTTCCCTTAGGATAGGTGATGTGTCTATTTGGGTGTGCCTTGTCTAGATAACTTGAAGGCCTTGGTGTATTGATAGTGCTCTGACCATTGACTAGTTGACTTAGACATAACAATTGCCTCTGAGGTTTGAGGGGTTATAAAGTGACCATCTTCAGACTGTTACCCAAAGCATAAAAGAAGATTAAGAGAATATTAGAGCAATAGTGCCTTGGCGAAAGGTATTTTCTATATTGGTGAGCACGATGTAATGACATGTCCTATTGAAATTGCAATGGGCGTCTTTGGCAAGTGGTTATATTAGAGTGAGAATAGATATTTATTGTGAGCTCTATTTCTGATGTGTCATGCTTGGAAACCATGAGTGTTTTTTGGCAAATTAGAAATTTGGTAAAACCACATGGACTGGTAAGTAAGGACTTAGAAAATTTTTCTATAAAGATTCTGAGTACTTATCTGTGGAGCATATGTGATCAGGACATCTTTGATAGAGAGGTGTATTATATGCATCTATGTTTCTAAAGGAGATGGCTAGCAAGCTATATAGCATATTGTAGGTGGGGGTTGTCAAATGTATTTATTGGTTACATTTTTTTAAAAAAGGCACCACTTTATGATTATTGATTTGGTCTGTCTTACTAATATATTTCAATTTTCAAGGAAGCAAGTGAACATATTTGAAGGATTTGAAAAGGTAGTTAATTATTGCATATTTTCAAATAGGTGGTTAAAGAGTCGTGTTTGGGTGATCAGTTTTGAAGGTAAGTAAAAGAATATTAATAGGAATTAATTCATATTCCATCGTGAACTAATGAAAATGGCTTATACTTGTGCCATTTCAGAAGATATTACCTTCTAGTTTAGTATAAATAAAGGACTTAGATCCTTAGGTTCTTCAATCATGCTTGTTGGTTATGAAAAACCTTTCTTTATGTATTCTGCCTTATCTTTATGTAAGATCATGAGAGAGAGAGTAAGAATGATCTTGGAAAAAATTGCCATTATTGATGATTTTAGATAGGATGACACAAAAAATATTAAGGAGAAACCAATGGGTAGCTTACAATTGAATTTGTTACATCATCTAAGGTTAGCTATCTCTCAAATCATAGTTGACTAGATCATCTCCAATGTAAGCTTCTATGCTTTTTCATGGTTTGTTGATATCTTGAGAGTTTATGCCATCTTGTTAGGTTTTCAAGGTCTAAAGCTTGATTTTGATGACATATGTGTCTTTGAGTTGATTAAACACCTTAAAATCTTAATGAAAGAAGTAAACTAGAATGGTGGTTTCCATATCTGAATATGATGAGCTTTCTACCTACTGAGTTTTGTGATGATGGTTTAGTAGGTAAAAAATGAGAATGGGATCCCTTTGTTGTGTTCCATAGCCTTGTCCATCGTGGTGAGAGAGAAAGATGTTGGAAGAAAGGTGACTATTCCAATTTCATAGATTTTCTTCTTACAGTGAAAGCTTGTGGATAAGGAGCCATCCTAGTGCATATACTTCTAACGGCTTCAAGCTATTGAGTGCCTAGTCCAACTTGTGGTGGTTTCATGT